GCCCCCACGAGTCCCCCCACCACCAAGGAAAACCGCAAATCTGAAAGCGGCCAAGGTTGAGAAACACTGGCTTAAAATACGACCCCTGTTCACGGTGCAGGCCCCCCTCGGGGGGCTTGCGGGAGCACCTGATCTGCAACCGTCTTTTGCCCGTATCTTTCGGCCTCCCTCTAAAGACGCTCAGCCTCTCCTCCCTGCTGCTTCCCAGCTCGGTGACCCAGGAACCCCCCTCGAGCCAGGATGCGCGTCGCTGCTTCCTCAGTGAAGCAGCAGGGAGGAGAGGCTGAGCGTCTTTGGAGGGAGGCCGAAAGATACGGGCAAAAGACGGTTGCAGATCAGGTGCTCCCGCAAGCCCCCCGAGGGGGGCCTGCACCGTGAACAGGGGTCGTATTTTAAGCCAGTGTTTCTCAACCTTGGCCGCTTTCAGATGTGCGGTTTTCCTTGCTGGCTGGGGAATTCTTGGAGGCCACATATAAGTCCACATATCTGAAAGCAGCCGAGGGCGAGAAACGCTGTTTTAAGCCAACGGAGCCTCAAGCCATGAAAGATCCTGGGTGCCTCTGCCAACTCCCTGTTTGCTGTGTGGTGCTGCATTAGCTTAAAGCTGCTGCAACCTTGGCAGGTGTTGACCTTGAGCAAAGGGGAGGTTTGTCAGGAATCTGCCTCAGGTGGAGTCAGAATTCATCCCTCTAGTTTGGCCCTGCCCAGATAGACTTCAGGCAGCAGCTTTGCCTAACTGGAGTTGAGCCAAGGGTTATACCTTGGAAGTTTAGCATGCAAAGAACGAGCTGCCTTGCTGCCCTATGTGTGGTTAACATGGATCTGCATGAGCCTAATCATTATTTTTCCTGCTCACGTGCAACAAATTTCTTCTCTGGAAGGAAGAGTACAATACAAACGTGCAGTAAGTGTACTGCAAAGAATCAGTTCACGTACAGATTCTGTCACCTAACGCACTGAACCATAAACTAATTACTGCAATCACATTTTAGTGTTGCATGGTGTGTGAACCCAACCCATTTGTTCAGTGTATGGTTTGGTGTGTTGTGCAAACCTAGAAGATTGGGCTAAATTCAGTGAGCTGAGATTTAGTTAATCAGGGCTAAATGTGTAGAAACCCAGTCTATGACATCCTCCTGCAGCCTGGTGCTGTTCAAATGTGTTGAGTGTGTGACCCCAAGGATTCCATTCAACACGGCCAAGGCCACATTGGCAAGGTCTTAGGTGCACTTTTCCATCACCTAACAGTTTGGGAAGACTGCTCTGTGGTGTTGGAATGCTTCCAGAGTTACCGCAGAATTGGAATTTGAAGGACATCCAGTTTTGTCTGTTACCTATCTTCGCTACTTGTCTCCATTAACTTATGGGCTGCTTCACACTTTCATGTTCAAGTGATGATATATAGATTTGGGGCACTCTTTTCTACACTGAAGTAGTCCTTAGAGGATCCGTGGTGCTATCAAGCCTGCTTGATGCTTCTGGAACCCATGTTTCTGTTTGAAGAAGGCATGCTTCAGTAGATAGGCAAGCTGCGGTTTCTTCGCTGCATCAAAGCTGGTTTTTGATTCCTACACTCTACAGCTCTGTCAAAGGGCTTTTTTTATATTTTAAGGATTGTGGTAATGTGTTTTCATAGTGGGTAATAGGCGTTAGTGGGATGTGGAGATCAGAGTGTTCTTATTTACAGAATGAAATGCATCTATTCTGTCCACAGTTCTCCTGAACAAGTTTCTCTTGGCCAGACCAGTTGCTGCTTTGACTACACCAACTGAGGACTATCATCATCAACATCATCATTATCATCAGACATGTAAATTTCACACGTCTCCCAGGAGTTTTGGTAGGTCTCTATTCCTTTTTTGTGTGTTTGCTTATTAGTATCATGGTTCATTGACCCCCCTCTCAGAGGGTGGGAAAAGAAACAGGAACTTCATAAATATATACACTCTTCTTCTCTGTGTTACGGTGATGTTTATTGTTATAGTACTTTTCAAGTATATAACCTGTGCTTATTTCTAACATATCTCTGTAGCTTAACAAACTATATAAACATTTCTTTATAGAGCTCTTTAGCAGTGCCTTAACTGTCTGGGTCTCTCCCTGATTCACACAGGTGTTCTTTGTCACAGTTTTGATATACTCAGTTGATACAGGTAGTCCTTGACTTACGGTAATTGGGACTGGAATTTCTATCGCTAAGCAATGTGGTTGTAAAGCACGATGTCATCTAACCACATTGCTTAGCGACAGCAATCCTGGAACTCCCTGGTGCTATTGTTAATTGAATTCCACTGGTCATTAGTCGAGGACCCAATCCAAGCCATTCTGGGCTTGGTCCCTCCCAGCCCTGAGCCTTGGTAAGGTAAGGGACTGCCTCTTGTTCAACTCTTCCCACCTGCCTATCTCCCCCCACCGTCTCTGCCGTTTTGGCCGTCCTGCACCCTGCCTTGCGGGGCAGCAAGCAGCCCCAGAACTGTGCAGCTCTGGGGCTGCTTGCCACATTGTGGCTCAGGGGCTTCTTGGCATGCGGTGGCTCTGGGGCTGTAAGAAGCCCCTGAGCTGCAGTGCAAAGCCCTTGGAAGCCTCAGCCACCCCAGCCCAGCACCACAGCACAGAGCCACAGCACCTCAGGAAGCCCCAGCTATCTCAGCAGCGCGGTGTTAAGCTGCAGCCACCCCAACCTAGTCCCAGCTACAGTCGCCCTCGCCACCCTGCACTCTGCCACCCCAGCTGACCTTTGCCGTCTTCTTGCTCCCACTGTTGATGAAGCGTGCCCGCCCTGCCCCTTCGTGAGGCAGCTGCTGGCCACATGGGGCTATCTTCCCCAGGTCTCGTGAGGAAACCAGCATGCACGGCCTGGGGAAGAAAGCCTTGTGCGGCCAGCAGCTGCCTCACGAAGGGCCAGGCAGGGCATGCTTGGTCAGTGGGAGCAAGAAGATGGTGAAGGTCAGCTGGGGCGACAGGAGCCACCGAGTACAGACAGCCAAAAGGGCAAAGATGGGGGGAGATGGGTGGGGGGAGTTGAAGCACCCCTACAGTTGTAAGTGCGGGCGGGCTGCTAAGTGCCTGAATTTTGATCACATGACCACGGAGGCGCTGCAGTGACCATAACTTTGGAGACCAGTCGTAATTCCCTTTGTTCAGTGCCGCCATAACTTCAAATGGTCACTGAATTAACGGTCATATGTCGAGGACCACCTGTAGACAGCTTTAGTACTTTCACTGCTTGGGGTCACTTTTAGCCCAGAGAAGAGGATGGAAAGAGGGAACAATAACGTTTTGCTCAGCTTCTTGGAATTCAATCACTGTTGTCAAGCTGTCCTTGTTTCTCTGGTCTCTCCGTTCAAATGCAGCAGTCTGGTCCACTGGGCTTCTTTGTTGCTCCTGCTTGTTCCTGCTAGGTCCTCCAGCTACTCCTTGATACACACAAACCTCCAGTCCATGCAGTACAAATGCTACCTCTTCCATTGCCTAACAGATCCATCCCTTTTATATACTTTCAGCCAAAGGCACCTGCTATTCTCAGGCGTCCTCATTAGTCAGAAAGCTTCTAAGGGTCTACACTTTGCATGGTTTTGGCAACTAGGAAAAAAAAGGTTTCACTTTGTGACTGTTTCACGAATTTGTCCCAGTTGGGGTATCTGCCACACATGCCTCCTCCAACTCCTTGGTATTTTTTGCTGGAGTTAAAAACAATAACAACATCACCTCATTCTGGCAGGGAGAAGATTGAGATATGCTGGAGCCAAAATTCTTTAAAAATTGGGCTGACCAAGTATTTATCTGTATTATTCTTTTAGACTTTCTCCTATCCTTTCCTGCAGCCTTGGGCAGGTTCAGGTCTATGAAAAGAAGAGAGTAATCGTATAAGAGTCAGTGGCAGCCTTTAGACACCTCCAAAAATGGGCTGCTGGGGAAAAAGACTAGCCCTGTGTTGGATTAGGGTTCTTCCAGAGGCAGCTGGGAGCAGAACCCTGCACCGTTAGGACCCTGGTCTGGTTCTGCAGAATTGTTTTCCATACTTAAGACAGACAAACCCAGAGTTTCCAATCACACAGCAATGCATTGTAGTCCTCATAATCGCAGAAGACAGCTTGGGAATGTAAAGCAGGAATCTAAAAGACCAGGAAATTAGAGAGGAACAGTTTGATACAATTTCAATCTTCTGCTGTCTCTTACTCTTCTTCTGCCAGCCTCTCTTCTTTTTGTTCCAAATCCTCATTAGTAAAATCTGTTTTTTTAAAAGTCCTCCATTTAGCTAAGGTGTATGTGATATTGTTGTGCAGACGGTGTTCTCTGATTTTATGCCTGCCTGCTAAGTTAGCATCTTTTGATTCTGAACTCAGACTGTGTGGCAGACAAACACAGGGCATGCTGAACAATAACCCTGAAGGTTATGGATTCAGGCCTCAGTCATTGATTCAACAGAAAATCGCCATTTACTGTTCTGTGTTGTGAAAAGAAATCCATTTCATGTCTTCTCTGTTTGAGATTCGGTGTTCAATTTTTTTTGCTGCTTGGGATATTAAATAAGTGTTTGTTACAAGGTTTTAAATTAATGAGTCTCTCTCTCTCTCTCTCTCTCTCTCTTTTAATGTCAGGAGGGGCTGTATTTAAAGCTTACCAGGATTCCATGAGGCCTTATAATGTAATTGTTCGATAATAGCAACATGAACAATAACAATAATATAATTCTTGTATGTCGCCCAGTTTTCAGCAACTCTGGGCAACTCACAACCATCAAAGAAATTACAATAAAATCAATAAAAGATAAAGATAAAAGATGGCAAGTGTGATGATGGGAGAGGTCTCACGCTCCCTGGCCAAAGGCCCGGGTGAAGAAGCAGGTCTTCACAGCTCTTCTAAACAACAGCAGGGCAGGGGCCATCCGGATCTCAGGGGGAACCTTGTTCTGGAGGTTTAAATTAAAGGCCTTTTGTCTAGCAATGAAAGCCTGGTGTGCTGGCTCACGGTATCGATTCTTGGAAATCTCAGACATTATTTTGTTTACTATAAAGAAATAAAAAAGCAAGTTTCTAGTCCTCATGACTATGGACATAAGTTTGGGAGTTTTGGCACATACAGGCTGGGCAGGCAAAAGCTTCCAACAGTCAGAAGGCCAAGTTTCTAGAGTCCCCTTTTGAAGGCCGTCTGCCCCTCTTTTTTTTGAGCTCCAATTATGGTTTTTTACCAAAACACTCTCAAGTGTCCCTCTTTTGGTCGTACATTTATGCTTAACTGTCAGCTCCCTACAACACCCAAACGAGGTATGCAAATATCCACTCCTTGGATTCAGAATATGCCTGCGGCCAGGTGATGAGCCATTTCCATCAACTGTTGTCATCTTCACAATTTGGGCTTCTGATTTCCTGGTGGGGTCAGGCAGGGAATGTTTTTGCTGTGGGCAATATCGCTGCCCGCCCTTGTCAGCTTTGGATGTCTCTGCAGCAAGGCTGGGCTCGCACATCGTGGTTGGTTTGGGCGTAGCATTTGTATGGTAGCGTGTCAGTTGTGATTTAAAACCTAGTATGCCACGGGAACCCGGCCGTGATTTTTGTCTGGCGGAAGTTGTCCTCACCCAGCCGTTTTAATAACGGTGGTTATTTTCAGCTCCACTGAACAACTGTGCTTTGTGGCTTAGTGCAGCGGATGAACCGAATCCACCGTTGTGTGAAGCTAGGCCTCGCAGTGGGGTTCTCCCCAGAGGCGGGCTGTGGGCTCTGGCTAAGCCTGTTTCGCAGAGTCTGCTCAGCTTCAGGATGTGGAGAATCGCTGGGCTCTCTCGGTTTCAGCTTTTTGGTCCTGCACTTGGGGAGGCTCAGTCAGTTTAACCCTCTGTGCGTGAGGCTTCAGCGTGTTTCATTTTAATAGGAGGGGGACCTATTAATTTGCTCCATGCATTCTTACATTTGCACACTTGGAGCGTTACTCCTAGCTCTCAAGCCAGCCGTTTCTTGGGCATTAAAGTGCTGCATCTGTCTGCAGCTGGTTCAAAGGCCGCCTCTCTACACTGGACCAGCGAGCGAGCAGTCAGCATCCTCCTGCTTGGACTCCTGCCAGCAGCCTATCTGTATCCTGGAGTGGCTGTGGACTACTCCCTGGCGGCAACTCTCACACTCCATGGTCACTGGTAAGTCGGGAGTGAAGCAGGCCCACCAGACAGCTGCCTGCCGTCTCTTCGGTCCGGAGGGTGGGGAGTTCCAAGAGAGGAGCTGTCCTATGGAAAGGGCTGAGCCGGGGGTGGGGTGGCGGGGATAGTCTAGTGGATTTCTTTAACATCTGCTGGATGTACCTTTTTCTGGTCAGTTCCCCCAAGACACCATCATTAAAACTTTGGAGAGTTACAATTTCTAAAATTGCTATAAACTCAGCAGTAAAGCAGCCATCTTATAAATTATGATCTGCAACCAGCAGTGAAAGGATGTGAATTTAGTGAATTTGTTTTAGAGAAGTTGTTACAAGAGAGACGAGATAACACAGATTTTCCTGGGAAGGGGTGTAATTTCACTTACAGGGCAGTGTCCTGCCTCTTCCTTCAGAAAGCAAATATATTTGGCTTTTGCTAGAATAAATATTTGCTAAGATCTTGTACCATGTAGAATTAGTGGGTTCTGGGTCATCTGTGTGCCCTTGGTTGACACTACGTTAGCACCATGTTTGACACCGGGCATTTGGAGAACTGGCCTCTCTTAGGATTGTAGAACTTAAAAACATGAGAGTCATTCTGCAGGCTCAAGATGATTATGCAGAATTTCAGGGGATTGAGTTTCAGAGTTTCGCTGGCTCTTTGTTTCCCCTTTCGACCAGCAGAAGTGTGTGGTTTGTGGGGGTGAGATTAAAGAATACAGGCATAGTTGAATGCATCTGAAGTTACCAGCTGTGCTCTAATACATTTCTTAGCATTGTGCTCCTGAATCTTAGACAGGGAGGAAATGATGTGAAAGCTCCCTCTTGGCTTTCAACAGTGCAACCCCAGTCATTTGTGCAGGAGAGAGCTTGTAGGGGTCATCCTCTAAAACAATTTTTTTTTCAAACTTGGCAAGTTTGAAAAACACTGATCTAAAAAATAGCGGATAAGGCTGCAAAGATCCATTTTGTTCACACTTCCATTTAATTAGTTAAATGCATTTTCTCTGCAGTTGTAATCATTTTCCCCTTCTGCCACATGGAACATTTCAGTCTGGTAACCTCTTGAAGCAGTCAGCCAGTGCTGTGCCCAGGGCATTTCAGGGCACAAGCTTCCCAAGGATTTAAGGTTATTCTCCTCTGGCTAGAGTCGGGGGTAGGCGGGGAGAGCAGCCTCTTTAGGGCAGCCCCTTTCGTGTCCCTTCAGGCTGCTCCCTGTGTCCAGCAGCAGTGGGAAAAGAATTTAGGCCTGGAAATTGTGAAGAGGAAGATCTTGAAGGCAGGTCCTTCCCACAAAGGCTGTTGCAATACATTCCTTCCTCTGCTCAGTGTTAGCCCCGAATTCAATCTGGGTTCCTGGAAAGGGTAATGCCTTTTTGTGTGTGGGCAAGAAAATTTCATTCTCAATGGGGAACAAGAGAACAGTGACTCAGTTGGCCTTTTGCCATATTTTGACGCCTGGGGCTGCCAAAAGTGAGTTAAGACTTTCAGAAACAAATGGTTTGGGTTTCTGCTTTCCCCCTTGCAGGTTTCCCTGCCTTGTTTTTGGAAAGCCCTTTGTTTCTTCTACAGTGTCCCCTTGCTTGAGCAGGAAAATCTACCCCCTTCCCACAAAGCAGGGGGTTCTTCTTCTGTTCCCTTTGATCGTTTTAATCCCCTTGTTTGTGAGCTGCATTTGAAGAGAGGCCTTTAGGGTCTTCATCCCAGAACGTAGAGGTTGCAGGCCAGCAGGACTGGTCCCACGGGAGGCTCAGGGCGGGCCTCACGTTCAGTCAGGTAACCGAACAGCAGGCTGCTTGCTCCAGGCATTTTTAACATTCGTTTGGAAATCTGCCTGCCAGTAACTGAAATAGGTTGTTTCGTAGTCTGTCCTCTGGGATGACCAAGAAAATGTTGTCCTCCACTTGTCTGCTTCTTATCACATCCCCCCTCAGTCAACTTCTCAAGGCTAAATGTGACCAGCAGCTTCAATAGGACTCAGTTTCTAGTCCCTGGTATTCATCCTGCTGGCACTTCTCAGCATTTCTTCTACTTTTGCCTGAATCCTTTTACAATGTGGTACCCAGAAGTGGACACGCTCCCCAAGATGCAATTTAAGTACGATCACACCCTGTGATTTACAAACAATATGTGTACTGATGCAACCAAAAATTAAGTTTGCTTTTTCTGCAGCTGCATCACGCTGTTCCCTGAAGTTCACAGCCACTCTTTTCCAGTTACATAATTTCTTTCCCTTTCTCTGTTGACTGGCATTGCATTTCATCATTGTTTACATTCACACTGTCTGCTGTTACAGCAGGGGAATACCCAGCTCCTCCCTCAAAGTAGGGTTTTTTCCCCCTTCTGTAGACTAATGTTTGGTATATTGTTAAATTTATTTCTTTATTTTAAATTTTTTGGCTGTCCAACTCCAGTGGAGTATAGTGGTGAAGGCGCCAGGCTAGAAAGGAGATGGTGAGTTTTAGTCCTGCCTTAGGCATGGAAGCCAGCTGGGTGACTTTGGACCAGTCCCTCTCTCTCAGCCCAACCCACCTCACAGGGTGGTTGTTGTGGGGAAAATAGGAG